TCAAAGACAAAAGGAGAATGAAAGGTGGAAGAGGGCAAAAGAGACTCGGAAAGATAATTGAGAATATCAGACTGTATGTATTCTCCTCTATCATTTACCCTAGCAAATTCAATCATGAAGGGATGAAAATTATTTGGAGAGCACAGGTAGCAAGTAAATTCCTCTTTAATCACTCTGAATACACAATAATGTTCGAGTCGGCTGTAGCAGGTGTTAGGAAACACTTCTGAAATTTCCTCAGGAAATATGTGAAAGGCAGGCTAACCTCTAAATCCATCCTCTAAGAGTAGCCGGAAAACATCTCTACTCTTTACACTTTTATGAAAGGCTATAAGAACATTACATTTTTACCTCATTCTCCACAGATTAAATAGAATTTCTACTGGAAATCTGAACAAGTGTGAGCCACTATTTATTCCAACCAAGGCATTAGCAGTATTTCCTCAGATCCAACTCATTTGGTGTCTGTATGTGGTTGGAAAATAGGAAAGCGTGAAAACTATCGATGTGTTTGTCTCTGTGCATCTGTTTACAGTTGCCAATGCAGATTACTAACCACAAACACTCCAAAGAAAAAGGAAGTCTGGATTACGTTGGCTCTGATGGGCTGGAAGGACAAACCAAAACTCATCTTGAAACAATCCGAGACACAAAGCACACAAAGAGGGGAAAGTTGCAGGAAGGGGTGAGGGGAAGGGTGAAAAATCGCCACCCATGGGGAAGCAGCTCAGCTGCAGACTGTTGGTCTGTTTTTGTAATGGCCAGTCACACATACAAACACACAAACAGCCTGTGACAAGCAAGCCCGTGCCACAGTTTGCCTAACCACGCCCGCCTCATTAGCTGCCAATCATTTTGCACGGCGGTCCTAAAAAGGGGGACAGGACACGAAGAAAGAGCACATGAGACGGATGAGGGGATGGTAGTGAAATTGTTGCCGTCAATAATCAAGCTGCCTTTGTGCAACGCTATCTTAACATGACACATAAAACGCAGTGAAAGTCGCCCAGCTTCTTCCTTCTCTCTTCCTGAATAGGCCCGTGTGTGTTTCAGAAGAGTAAAACCTGCCAACCTCACTGAATAAAAGCAAGACTATGGGCTGGAGTCGGTAAGCAGATGAGGGTAGCGTACCACACACTACAGAGGGCTATTCCCAGAGGGGCAAAGACCATTCATCCAGACACACACGCACAGACACACACGCGGACAGGGAGCAGAAGATTTACACAAAATCGCAGACACATCCTCGGCTGTATCTCTCATGATGTGTTTAACGTCCAGCCGAACACAGTACAGTACCAAACACTGCAAACATTCACACAGTGCAAATCAAATTTAGACACGCTAACTTACATTCACTTCTGCACACACACACACAGACACACCGTCACATGCTGACTGTAGCCCTAACAAGCAGGCCGACCAGCCTCTAAGCTGCCTGGAGCCCGGCACTAGAGAGACAGCTTCGCAGGGACCGGGGAGGTTTCTAATTATTCATGCTCACTACAAGCACTTGTTTCTTCTTATTTAGAGTTGACCAGCTGGAGCTTTTTTATGCTGCATGTGGGGAAACAGCTTAAAAAAATGAAGTGAGCCAGAGCCTGTAATGAGGCTGGGCCTCAGTTCACTGGTCCTTGTGCTGGGGGTCCGCGGGTACCCATCAGGACCTCGTGAGAACGCTAAATTGCGCTCTTTGTCAGATTCTGTTTCAGGGGTGGAAAATTTAAGGCAATAGTTTTGTGTGTGTGCGTATACGTCTTGTCCTCTCCCATTTTTATATTTTTCTCTGTAAATTTGAAACTATTTGTCATGCCAGCTTACAGGCCACGGGCCCTAAAGAGGCTGCAGGGTCGAGGGGTGCGGGGCCGTAATATTGTCCCGCTGCTGCATTTCCCCAACAAGTAAATGCACTCCTTACACCTGACGCTGGATTTTTTGAAGCTTGCTGGTCCCTTTGGCCTGTATAGTGCCATCTGATAACACCACTACATGCTAACAGAATTCATGAGCTTGTGCCACGAGGCAATTACTGAGCTAAACAGAACACGTGCAGCGATTTTTACTTTTCTCCTGGTTTGCTTCGTTTTTTTGTTTGTTTTCTGGGTTTTTTGCTTTTAAAAGAGAAAGAAAACACTCAATGAACCGCTAAGAGCAAAAGCCTTGGCCTTGACGATAGAAACTACAGTCTAGGCAGAGAGGCGTGTTTGAATGCGTGCTTGGATACGCAAGTGAGTGTGTGTGCGCACTTGAGTGTGCGCCTGCATGAAGCAAAGATCACGGCTCAATGAAACGCCTTTCCTATACGAAACACAGATGCTGTCTGGGCTGGTTTAATGAAAGTGAATATCTCAGGTTACGCCATTTGAGCAAGTGCGTGTATGTGTGTGTCTTTGTGCGTGTGTGTGCCTATGTAGTGCTGATGTTTTGAATGTCAATAGGAGGTAAAACCTGTGTTGAAAACTCTGCTGAATTAAGACAAGGATCGCACAAAAGCCTGTCTCTCTCCCTCGCTCTCGTTTTTAGCTTCCCGTCTCCCCTTTCTCGTTTTGCTTTGAGCACAATGCGCCTTCTTTGATGGCTGGCCGTGGTTTGAGACTCATCACCCCCTTGCCTTTTCTCTACTCACCGGTGTGACAAGCTACTTAGCAGGTGTCTGCAGGTCTGTGGAGTGTCCCTCTTTATTCCTCTGTGTTTGTTATCAGTATATTTCCAATGATATCTCTGTGCTTGTGTCCACTTACAAAGAGATAGTGTACTGTATCACAGAGGGTTTCTCCTTTTTTTGCAGTTGCAACAAAGAGGCAAATGCATCCTCTAACACAGGAGTTTGGAGCCTTATTTTGAATATCACGCTGCCCCACTGAAAAAAACCCTCGTGTCTCCTTTCTGAAGGTATAATTGGAGGATGTGAAACACAACCTTTTTCTTCTTCCCTCTCCATCCTCCTACACGCTCTCAAAAACAGCTGACAAAAACACAAACGCAAAGAACAGGGATAATATGATCTGACAGTTTCTTGTATATGATACCATCTAGCTTTCACGTATCCAACTGGCTTTTGAGTCTACGCAGGTTGAACATTCATTTCCTGGTTGTGAGTTTGCATGTCCGACAACCAACTCTGACATTTAAAAGAGCAAGAGAGGACAGTGTCGGAACAGCAGTCTGGGTGAAGCCCCAACGAAGCATGGCACGTGTAATTCACAGTGACACCAACAAGGAAACCTGAGTGGTGGGCGTCCACAAATCCAGAACAAACCCGTAAGACCTAGATTGTGGTTCAATTTAATTTCTACTGTTTCGACTCGAGGGCAGGAAGAAAACAGAAAGTTAAAACAAATGGTGAAATGGGCTGAAATAGATTCAGTTTACTACAAAATGTTGCAAAGCGATCTGCTGAAAAATTAAATTTAGACCTGAGGGCTTGCCATAGGGTACCGTTTGTGGAAACCAGCCTATGGGCCCGCCTGCTTGTTGCGTCCCTGCTGAATAGCAACGAACGTCGACGGGCTAAAAAGTGGTAATAAAGTTATTTTCAATCTTGACAGTGTACGCAGTGAGGATTTGAGAGGGGGTCTCTTTGCTAGCAACTATCCCCTGACTAATCAGTTGAATTTGGGAAATAAATTATTGTTGCTGTAAATGTTGCGTGAAAGAGAAGCAGGGTTGTGTGTTTGTGTGTGTGCGTGTGTGCGTGGGATGTTAATTGATGAGACTTATAGAGAGCTGCTAGTAGCACAGGGGGGATCATTACTGCTGGAGTGGAACAACTGCATTCACGGCTGTTTGCTATGTCTCATACACACACACACACACACACACACACACACACACACACACACACACACACACGTCACGGTGCACCAGCAGTCAAAAGGAACACCATCCTCTTGCTCTCTCTTGTACATCCTTTTGTCTTATACTACAACTGCTCAGCTACACAAGAAATGTCACGTAGGGTAATACTAGCACCCTAATTCCAAGATGACAGAAAATGCCAGCACCTGAAAATACCAACCAACTATCAAATGTCACTTTGTTTCTCCAAAATCTCAGAAAAAAACCTAAAAATGTTATTTTGGGTTGGCATGATGGGAGGAAGAAACCCCAAACAATTATCCCCAAGGCATTTCCCCATCCTCGAGTCAATTTGTGGGATGGGGGTGGAGGTGCAGCCACTTTGGGTTAAAGGATTTAGGTCACACTTTAACTCACTTGCTGACATCAGAGCAGTGAGATAGAAATCCTGGAGTGGAATCTGAATTTGACTCAATCTCCTGCGTGCCTGACACTCGAGAGACTGACACTTGAAGAATTACTAGTCAACCTGCTATTCTGGCCTATATTTTAAAGCCTGCAGGGGGGTATGGGGTGGGGTGTCTTTATCGTGTCTTATAGGCTGCTGTATATTCATGCATTTCTGTATGCATCTATGGGTGTGCATGAATGCCTGCATGCGTGTAATCAAGCGTGCATAGCTGCGATTGTGTGAGTTCCTTTCATTTTACGAGAGTCTCTCCGTGTGTTCGGAGGCGCGTAAACACGTACTGCAGACCGTGCGGGTGTTTGTGTGTGGGGACCAGAGCGTGTGGGCACAAATCAGTGTGTGTTTATGCTTTCTGTCAGTGTGCGGTAACGTCTCCCTGTCTCCTGCTTATACCACATTACATCAGTCTGGAGCCGCTGTCACTTCAGTAGCAGCGCAGACAGGTGAGACTTTACAGAAACGTTAGAAATCACAGAAGACAGAATACAAGTGTACCTTCACTCTTTGTTGAAAGTGTTTTTAAAATAGCACACACAAATAGTAGCTTAGCATGACATACTAACAGTATACAGAAAAATAGTAATAGTAGTCTAGAAATTAAATATCTCAAATTATCTAGTGAAATTACGCCTCCAAAATATATTCTAGCTTTTGAGAGAAACACACTTCTCCAATTTAACCAGCTTTACACACATGCATGCTGTACATATACTGTAGATAAACAGAATTATACCTCCAATAGCCAGGGTTTGAGTTTGCGGTCCAGAATAATGTCAAAGCCCAGGACCTCGAAGCAGACGCTGTCACTCCCCGGTGGCTGGCCAGGGCGACACATGCGGTAGGCGTGCAGCACGTGGGGCTCAGCTACTATTAATGTCTTCACCACCAGCTCCTGGCAAGACAGACACACAAAGCCAGAGAGAATCAGCCAGCTGCATTTACAAAGAGAACTCAATTGTACTTTTTTCTTTAGTAGGTTTCGTTTATCCTAAGAAGCCATAGGCTGTGGGCTTCATAGCTGCTGATTAAAAGGTCTCCTTAATCAGGAAATGGTGAAATTAAAACTCTTTGCTTTAATTTCATTTTAAAACTGCAGATAAGGGATTGTACCTTTGTATTTAGGACAAAACTGACAACGAAGCAATGGTGACGGACACACTAGAACTGCAACCCACAGACATGCTCCACAGAGGCGCGAATGAAATGTTTATTTAATCCTGAACTCGAATGCGTTATAAAGACAGTCTGTCGGTTTAAAAGCTAAAGCCTTTTGAATTGCTCTCACACAGAGACTTTCACCAAAGTTGGTGGTGGTCCATCTCCGTTGCTTGTGGTGCCCAACCTGTGCGCATGTTTGTGCTTGCACCTATCTGTGCTGGCTGCTACCAGCCTGCTTACTCCCAGCGTGCAACTGGGGTAAACATGCTCAGTCTGACACACACACACACACACAAACACGTTGCACATAGCTTACCCTCACCAGTCAAGCCCCACACAGTGCTGCTGGCCTGCAGTTTGCCCAGTCCAGACTGACTGCTGGGTGCAGGAGAGGTGTATGGTGGTCTGGCCCTGGCCTGATAAGGCTGCACCCCCCTCTCCCTTTTCTATCTGTCTGTCGCTCACACACCTCCAACCATATGACAATCCATCCACCCGTCTGACCCCACAGGCTGCCCAGCACAAACACCTGGTCCCACTACCACTGTTTATGCCCAGAGTCCCCAGCAGTGGCTGGTGTATGCACACGCGTGTGTGTCCTTTGTCCCTGCCCACATCACCTCCCTCCTTATCCTGAGCCCCCAGCACTGGCCACTGCCTCGCACCTTATGTGTGTGGATGCGTGCCTGTATCTTGCTAGCTTTGAGCTAGAATGGTTTAGCCTGCTCCTTTTTAAATCATTTTATTCATTTTTGTTTTTGTAATCTTTATTTATCCAAATACCAAATGAATACACAAGTTTTTTTTTTTAATGTTTCGATCTGTGGCTTCTTTTGTTAAATTTACGTAACAGTATCACTGGATTAAACGAGGCACATTAAAAATAAAAAACCAAAAGGAAATATTCTAAAATGCAATAAAGGAAAATACTGAGTATATGAAGAATAAATACTGCATTACTCTGTCAGTGATGTATTATTCTGTCAAGGAAACTAATGCATAAAAACATGAGAATTTTTACATATGAACAAACGTATCTTTAGATGTTGGAAAAAGTCTAAAATGAAGTTTCAGATTTTTTCGTTTTTATTTATTTATTTTCGCCTCAGTGTGTGTGTGTAAATATAAAAATATAAAATCCATAACTAGCTCATTTGTAGTCAGACGCTGTTTTCAAAATGACCCCTGTGGTGGACCACCAGGTGGCTCCACTCACACCCGGTGTGAGGGGAAGTGAGGGGGTTGGGCTTTTGGCGCCTTGAGCGTTGAGTTGTGTGAAGCCGAGATTAAAGTTGAAGTAAAATATTGAGATCTCTTGTGTCATCCTTTCATACCTCCACATTGGTGACCCCTGGGGCGAACATGCTAAGGTCCGAAGAGGAAGTCAGCTCCTGCCTGGAAGCGTCGGCGGCTGCCGGACTGCCACCACGGCCTACAGCTGCTTTTGCTGCTAGCTTGCGACTATAGAGCGCCTGGGCATTGTGCAGCGTTCGTTATCCCATTTCCCACATCCAGGATTTTTCCGCCCCAAAACTTGATTCTGTTCATCTGGAACGTAGCGTTTTCAGTGGGAGAAACGTTTCGTCGCTCATCCGGGTGACTTCTGAAGAAGTACGTGAAAAGGAAAAGATCACCTCTGAATCGAGGAGGGGGGCTGAGGGTACATCGTTCACCGTGTTACAATGCTGTGAGTGCAGCCATTCTCAAACTCTCTGTGAATGGTACTCATGGACATTGATCAGTGGGCTTTGATTAGTGGTTGTTGATCAGTGGTCACAATTTGCATATTAATGATCAAGAAACTGACCTCACAGCCCATTAATCATGCGACGTTTCCATCAGCCGCCCACGCTCGGTGGTTCCCGTTTCATGGTGTTGTTGCGTTTTTGAATCGGCGCGTGCTCTATCACACCCGGGGGTCCGGGCCTCAGCTCCAAGTTTGTTTGGGCAGGCCTTCGCAAATCTGTGTAGGAATGGGCAGTGGCGTGCATTTCATGCCAGCGCGCAAAGGTCCATAGACACACTAAGGCACCCCTTGCGCCATTCCTCATCCCTGGCAAACGTTTTGATCATGGGCATTTTGATCTGATGGGTCCCCTACCACAAGGTTACAAGCTACTGTACCACCTGGTGGCCAGAGGCAGTCCCCCTGTCATCCAGGACCGCGACGGTGGTGGCCAGGGCATTTTTGTCAACTTGGGTTTCGCGTTTCCCGAGCTGACATTACCTCAGAGGCCCCAGTTTGTTTCGGAGCTTTGGGCTGCCATGGCTGATGATCCACTGCACCACTGCGTACAACCCGCAAGCTAACAGGATGTGTGAGCGGTTCCACAGGTTGCTTAAGGCTGCGCTCCATGCTTCTCTAACAGGTGGCAACTGGGTAATAAACTCTCTTTTCCAAAGATGATGATTTCAGATAGATTTATTTTTTTATTACTTTGTTGTTTCAGCAACATTAAATTTAAAAACTGTACTTTTGAGTTAAAATATATATTTATAATTTTAATAAATGACAAATTAAAAAGGCATGAACATTTTTTTTTGTATGAAATATCGACGGACACCAAAGTATCGAACCGAACCGTGAATTTTGTGTATCGTTGCACCCCTAGTATATATTGTATATATATATATATATGTGTTGTATATATATATATATATATAACACCCAGCACGCCCCTGCGGGCGGTTTATCCTTCAAGCTCGGGTCCTCTACCAGAGGCCTGGGAGCTTGAGGGTCCTCGCAGTATCTTAGCTGTTCCCAGGACTGCGCTCTTCTGGACAGAGATCTCCGATGTTATTCCCGGGATCTGCTGGAGCCACTCGCCTAGCTTGGGAGTCACCGCACCTAGTGCTCCGATTACCACGGGGACCACCGTTACCTTCACCCTCCACATCCTCTCGAGCTCTTCTCTGAGCCCTTGGTATTTCTCCAGCTTCTCGTGTTCCTTCTTCCTGATATTGCTGTCATTCGGAACCGCTACATCGATCACTACGGCCGTCTTCTTCTGTTTGTCTACCACCACTATGTCCGGTTGGTTAGCCACCACCATTTTGTCCGTCTGTATCTGGAAGTCCCACAGGATCTTAGCTTCGGTCATTCTCCACCACCCTTGGGGGCATCTCCCATTTTGACCTCGGGACTTCCAGGTTATACTCGGCACAGATGTTCCTGTACACTATGCCGGCCACTTGGTTATGGCGTTCCATGTATGCCTTGCCTGCTAGCATCTTGCACCCTGCTGTTATGTGCTGGATTGTCTCTGGGGCATCTTTACACAGCCTGCACCTGGGGTCTTGCCTGGTGTGATAGACCCCAGCCTCTATGGATCTTGTGCTCAGAGCTTGTTCTTGTGCTGCCATGATTAGTGCCTCTGTGCTGTCTTTCAGTCCAGCTTTGTCCAGCCACTGGTAGGATTTCTGGATATCAGCCACCTCCTCTATCTGCCGGTGGTACATACCGTGCAGGGGCCTGTCCTTCCATGATGGTTCCTCGTCTCCCTCCTCTTTCTTGGGTTTCTGCTGCCTGAGGTATTCACTGAGCACTCGGTCAGTTGGGGCCATCTTCCCAATGTATTCTTGGATGTTCGTTGTCTCATCCTGGACTGTGGTGCTGACACTCACCAGTCCCCGGCCCCCTTCCTTCCGCTTAGCGTACAGCCTCAGGGTGCTGGACTTGGGGTGAAACCCTCCATGCATGGTAAGGAGCTTTCTTGTCTTTATGTCAGTGGCTTCTATCTCCTCCTTTGGCCAGCCTATTACCCCAGCAGGGTACCTGATCACGGGCAGGGCGTACGTGTTGATGGCCCGGATCTTGTTCTTACCATTCAGCTGACTCCTCAGGACTTGCCTGACCCTCTGCAGGTACTTGGTGGTTGCAGCTTTTCTAGCGGCCTCTTCATGGTTCCCATTGCCTGCGGGATCCCCAGGTACTTGTAACTGTCCTCTATGTCTGCAATGTTGCCTTCTGGTAGTTCAATCCCCTCAGTTCTGACTACCTTCCCTCTCTTTGTTACCATCCGACTACACTTCTCCAGTCCGAACGACATTCCAATGTCATTGCTGTATAGCCTGGTAGTGTGGATCAGTGAATCGATGTCTCGTTCACTCTTGGCATACAGCTTGATGTCATCCATGTACAGGAGGTGGCTGACAACTGCTCCGTTCCGTAGTCGGTATCCGTAGCCAGTCTTGTTAATGATCTCACTGAGGGGGTTCAGGCCTATGCAGAACAGCAGTGGGGACAGAGCATCTCCTTGGTAGATCCCGCACTTGATGGTGACTTGTGCTATGGGCTTGGAGTTGGCCTCTAGTGTTGTACGCCACATCCCCATTGAGTTCCTGATGAAGGCTCTTAGGGTCCCATTGATCTTGTACAATTCTAGGCATTCCAGTATCCAGCTGTGGGGCATTGAGTCATAGGCCTTCTTGTAATCAATCCAGGCAGTGCACAGGTTGGTCAGTCTGGTCTTGCAGTCTCGGCTGACTGTTCTGTCTACCAGTAGCTGGTGTTTTGCGCCTCTGGTATTCTTGCCAATTCCTTTCTGTGTCCCACTCATGTATTGACCCATGTGCCTGTTCATCTTAGCCGATATGATGCCTGACAGGAGCTTCCATGTAGTACTGAGGCAGGTTATTGGTCGGTAGTTGGAGGGGACCGGTCCCTTCTTGGGGTCCTTGGGGATCAGGACCGTCCGACCTTCGGTTAGCCATTCCGGGTGTCTCTCGTTAACT